TTATGTTAAGCCTGGTACAATCCAATCTGTTGTTCCTTATAGAAAGTGAAATACTGATACTCAAATGTGATGAAATTTCTATGACAAAATGTAAGGTCATTGAATTTTAGTTAAGATAGAAATTTTATCCTTATCTGCTTATGTTATTTATCCATTTTAATAACATTTCTGTTGTTTTAAATTGTTTTATGAGGAAAGGTGCTAGTATTTATATAACTGATACTTCCAGAATAAAAAGAAACCTGCATATAATTGCTAAAGATATGGCAAAATCATGCAAAATATTTCAATTTTTAAGCATTTTGTGCTAACAGACGCCTCTGTCTTGTAAGTTCCATTTTATTCTTTACAAACAACATGGCAGCTTTTACATAGTTTGCAGCAAAAAAAAAATCAACATTATGAGCTTTAAAGATGAGAAGTACAACAAAGTGAGAGGCTCCTAATGTTAATATAAAATTATGAGTTATTTAAATGTAAAGTAAGACACAGTGCACATACAGTTTCACCATTTCAATTGCAAAATTGTCAGCTACATTAATTCCATGAATTATTCTGTTTTTGTGTAGTGAAGGTAAGAAAGTAATTGTGTAGTTTGTTTCTATTGACATTGTAGATTTAATTCAGTGCCATCGTTATAAAAGGAGCTTCTTAGTCTTAAGTTTTATACATCTTTCAGCCTGAGACAGAATAACAGGGTTTGTGATAAAAATACTCAACAACCAATCAAGTTTTAATTCATATCTGACATATCACAGTGAGTCACGTTATGTGTACTTGCAGTCAGCTCGATGCTGTCCACTCAAAACTGATTAACCCTTAGAACGTAAAACAAACCACAGTAATTAGCTTTGGGAAATGAATGCATCCAAATGGTATTTAATTTTGGTCAAGGTATGATGAAGCATGTTTAGACAACAGCTGCAGAGACTGTCATAATGTCTTGCCATAGACAATTTTTTCATATATATGTTACCGGCAATGTACAGAATGCCTAAAGTCAGTAGGAAAAGTATGAAATAAATTGTAATGTTCATATTGTTTGGTTGTGTAAATTAAAATTAATCAAAGTCAATTGGGTAAGCTGTCAAGATAGAGGTTATGTAAGATAGCTGCGAAAACACCAAGCTACTGAATCTGAACATAACAAAACTTTGAGAATTAAAAAAGATTGGTTTATGCACTAACTTAATAAAAGTTTAGAGATTTAAAAGAAATGTTTATATTAAGTTTTTGTAAATATAAAAGATAAAATAAAACTGTATAAATCGTGTTATAGAAACTTCTTTGTTATATGCTTTACTGGATTTCATAGTTTGCCTGTAACATATACACATGAACTTCTTCCAATACATTATGCTGATCACTGTAAACCTGAATACTGCAATAAAGCAGGATCCCTTCTTATTGCAATGCAATTCTTTTTTCATTGTCACTGATCTGTGGGAAAACAAACTAAAACTTTGTGAGCTGTTGAACATTTCACAATCAACCCTGTGATTATATGTCTCAATTTGAAATATGAATCCTTAAAATGTGGGCTTTTTATGAACCTGCATAATCATTCAATATGAAAATGACACCAGATGAGTGTTTGATATTAACATACAATTTCGAAAATTAAATTGAAACTTAATTCGCGCCGATATTAATAAACTCTCTAGTTAATAAATAATTTATATAAATGTTCAATTTCGTGCTGTGTTTGAAATTAACTAAATATGAAAAAGGAAGGCATAATTTCAAAACTATTATAGAATTGTTATAATTAATTAAACTTTATTGCCGTTTGTGACAATGATTTTAGTGCGAGCAAAATTTACAACCTAAATTTTGAAAACATGAAATGTTCATTGTTTCTGTCATTCCGCAAATTTGATGTTCAAGAGACAGGCAACACAAACATATTTTTACAGCCTCACAGATATTTGTTTAATAAACGTGCACGATCTTGTTTATAAATGGTATTTGTATACATTTTTAACATACACCAAATTATTATGGTCACAGCTTTAACGCCAATTATACCGGTACAGCACAGCTTCTCAAGACTACGAAATGCGGCACTAAAACATTCTAGTCTGGATAGGCTACGTGTAATTCTGATTACATCCATAGTCTATTTCGCCCTTTAGTAATAAAACGAACCGTTTTTAGAAGTAATCAAACATATTCCTGAAATACATTTCTTCACCATACAAAAAACCTTTAACGTTTAGCAATACATTTTTTGCCTTTTGTTGACTGTTTGCTATTAGTTCGATACCTATTAGACAGAAATCGATTTTCAGGTCACAGTTTTTGTAAATACACGGGAATGGCCACGGCAGCATCCTCTACCAGCGTAATGTGAAAACTGTTGGAATAGTGACTTCTGTTTTATAGATTAGATACTAGATGGCGGGAAGCTGCATAAACTCGTACGAGTCTATTCGTTTGAGTATGTTGGTATCAGAGTAGATTCCTATATCTAATGTTGGTATTAAGTTGTGGTTGGATGTTTTTTAAAAAAAATAAGAAGAATGATTTGTCGAAATTTTGTTCCTGCTACGCTGATGAGATGACGATTGAAGGCTTAGTAGATGATGCTGCACTAGCTGATCATGAAGATTTTAAAGGTGATGGACATAAAGATAATACCGCAGCTGCTTCGTTTGAGGTTGTTTGAGCTACCGCTACAACGGAAGCACCTCCTATGCACATCATACTAGACTATATAGCGCAGCTTCGCAGAACTTGTATATTTTCAAATGAAAGTTACTTAATGAATTTTCTTGCTTGTTGCTAAAACACCTCTTTGAAGTGTTTGTTTTATGGGTTCCTTGTATACAGAAAGAATTATTGTAGACAGGGGAAGATGATATCCAATTTTAGATTGTGTACGACATTTTATACTTAACTTACATGGTGGTCTTCACTGCAGTCTTACACATGCACACTGTGCATACCCCTGAGAAACATTTGTTTTGATGCAGAGCATGTCTACTAATTTTCTGATCTTTCTACGCATTAGGACATTGAGATAAATGGCATGATCAGTATTATTACAGATGCTTGTGAAAATTCAGTAGCACTGGGTTATATTGAATCCATGTCATTTGGTAACACCTTTCATGAAAGGTTTTGATTCTGATAATTTGAATTTTATACATAGTAAAATTGATGGAAATGCTTATAGATGGATCAAATTGACCATTCTTTGTGTACAGTGCTGGAGAGGTGAAGCAATTTGTCCTTCAAGTGATGAAAGCTGTCAGTTTTGGAATGAGCGAGAAGCATGCATAAAGTACTGTATTCCCATCTGTCCATACCACATGCATGCTCTAGAACAGTGGTCCCCTACGCGGTGCCCGCGTTGTTACGGAAAGAGGTTATACTGAATAATGAAGGCCGTTCAACCATGAACATTATGAAATCAAAGCACAGATCTCGACTTACTGACACCCGTCTTGACGATTGTTTGCGAGCAGCAACATCATCCTACTCTCCCAAATTTGAAAAACTGGCCGATGAAATGCAGCGCCAAACATCACACTAACTTCCCACTTGAGTAATAATAATTGTACTTTTGATTGTATGGTTTCTTGTATCATTAAACGTCGCAACTTGCGAAAAGTCGCATGTCCCAAGTCTTGAA